ACATGTCATTATTTAATTTATAAATAAAATTTGATGTTAAAAATTTGAGAATCTTGACTATTATTTGATAATTATGTTTAATGAAAAAAATATGATGTGTCATCATCTTAGCAAAAATTAGTAGAAATTAATGATGACGTAGAAATGCGACATGACAAATTTCTTAAAATAAACAAAATATTTTAATTCGTTGAATTATAATTAATTAAATTATAAAATTATAATATAATACACTAGATTATAAAACTAAAAATAATAAATTTAAATTAACAGAAAATAATAATTACTATAATTTCAATTTGTTTTTACATATATTCATAATAGATTGCATAAAATATAATTACAAAAATTTTACAACCAATATATATCTTATATTTATATATAAAAAATTATAATAGATTATCTAATAAGATAGTATATAACGCTATATATTAACAATGTTAGAAATATGATATATTATTATTTGTATATAATTTTTTTAACATTTTATATTATTGCTTTCTGGAATTAGCATAACTTACATTACCATCTCATTTTATCTTTTATCCTTTTTTTAAATAAATTAAAAGTTTATATCATACTCATATACAGTCTCATTGGAGATCAAAAATTTGAGATCAGAAATAAAACGCAATGTAACAAATGAAAAAGCAAATAAATTATAAATAAGCAAAAACAAATATGAATAAGAAGTAGAAGTAAAAATAAAAATAAATCTCTACAGTTTTGTTGTAAAATTCTCAAACTTTGTTTTACAAAGTCATTTAAAAATCTTAAGAAAGAAATTTTATAATAACCGCATGTGTGGCTCATATTTTATAATGAACACATGCGTGCAAACCAACCATAAGAAATTTATTTTCTTCATCAAACTAGTTCCTCGATATTGGACAAAGAGATGAGCAGAGAGCTACCGGAGAATTTTGAAAAATACGATTTCACAAATTTAATAACAAATATATATTATAAATTTTATTTGATATATAAATAAACATATGAATAAGAAGTAAAAGTAAATGTAAAGTAAAAATAAATTTTTACGACTTTGGTTTTCTATAAAAATATGAGGCTATGCTTTTGGTTAAAAGCGTCGCTAACCCACCTTTATTTTAAATCTCTAAATTTAGAAAAAAAATAGCGATGTTATTTTTTCATCTATAATTGGAGGAAAAGGCAACAATCTTTCTTTTTCCTTTAAAATAGAAATAGGTTGGAGAGAAATTCATATATCATAAAACTCTGAAAAATAAAAAATTTTGATTAAATACACAACGATAGAAACAGTTTTTGTGATTGTTGTTAAACTCCAAAAACTGTATCGTGTAAAATCATAATGTTTGCGGAAAATATCAGAAAAACTACCCAACACCTAAATATTACAATTCATTTATTTATAATTCATACCTACATGCATAAATATACATATTTTTATATATAAAAACCAGTTATACATTATAAAAATATATATTACAAAACATATATTTAGTTATTTTCTTTTAACACATAAAAATCATACTTTGATTTTTTCACAAATATATGTGTAGATATAAATATAATAATGCAAAAATTAAAGTCGCATCCAAACTTGTCGTGCATACAATTTCTTAACCTCGATTACAGTCTAATTTTAATTTACTTATTAGTCAATTTATATTTATTAAAAAATCTCTATATGTCCTGAGAGCAGTGAGGTGATTGGTACACACGAATGTGCAACCGATTTAGCCAAAAAATTAATGGATTCATAATATTTGGCAAAAAGTCACGAAATTAAATAAAAATACTTTGAAATAAATGTTTTGGTGGGAAAATTACAGTATCATGTTTTTGCAAAAATTTCTGAAATCAGGTTTTCACGGAAGTTTTTTGAAATTATATTTTTAAGTACGTTTTTTGGCGGAAATTTACAGTTTCACTTATTTGGCGAAAAATTCATGAAATCAAATTTTTACTGGTAGTTTTTGAAATCATTTTTCTAATGTAAATTTTTTGGCGGATTTTTTTATGTGTTTCGAGGGAAATTTACAAAATTGAAACTTTGTTAAAATGTCTTTGGATCATATTTTTGATGTAATTATTTTGGTGCGAAAGTTATTTATTCATGTTTTTGGCAGAAAATTTACGAAATCGGTTATTTGTTGAGATTTTTGGAATCTAATATCAATTAACTCTTGTGCAAAATATTTACAAGCTCAAGTGTTTGTAAGAAATTTGCAAAATCAGATTTAAAAAAAAAAAGAATTTATTCACTTTTATTATCATCTTATCTTGACATACTATAAATAAAGAACAAAAGTTTATATTATATGTAAATGTATTCCAATTATATAGCAAGAATTACAAACCAGAAACAAGACGAAAGGTGACAGAATGAGATAGAAAAAAACTATAAAAAGATGTAAAATATGAATAAAAATTGAAAACGAAGAATAACGAAGAATCATTTTATTTTATTTTACAGTTTTAAAGTATTTAAAGTTTTATATATTTTTGTTTTTTGCTATATATGATTTTTTAAACCTATTGAATTATTTTTTCATACAAATGTATTATTGAACATATCAATCACTTATTTATGATAAATTATAAATAATATTATTAATTAATTTAATTAAAAAATTTATGTCCGCTCATATGTATGAGATGCTGTTTGTTTCCTTACCTGACTGATGTATCCAGATGCAGATACGAGATATTGTTCGTTTTGCAACAGTTAATCACATGAACTAGATGCAGTAGTTGAATACAAATATCAAACTCATAAAAAAAAATCAGATATTTCAGATGCAAATGAAAGTAAAGTCTAGATACAGATATCTCATCCAAAAATTATAAATGTCTAAATAATCCTATCAAATTTAAACAATTACATAACAATATATCCTAAATAATAAATTTCATAATAACCTTAAATTCTGAAAATTCTCAAATTTTATTTTTCTACCAAAACTGCAAATCATTTGTTTCACCAAAACTCATAAATTATATTTTTGCCAAAACCAGAAAGTTTCATTTTTTCGTCAAAACCGTAAAATTACGTTTTCTTGCCGAAACTGTAAAATCATGGGAAAACCATAAAATTACGTTTTTCCATCAAAACTGTAAAATGCTGAGAAAATTGTAAAATTCTGTTTTCTCGCCAAAACTGTAAAATTTCGTTTCCCCGCCAAAACCGTAAAAGAGAAAACCGTAAATTTTTATTTTCCCGCCTAAACCGTAGAATCACGAGAAACCCTCAAAATTACGTTTTCACGCCAAAACTATAAAATCATGGGAAAACCATAAAATTACGTTTTCACGCCAAAATCGTAAAATCACGAAAAAACGTAAAATTCTGTTTTTCCACCAAAATCGTAAAATTTCACTTTCCAGCCAAAACTGTAAAATTTTATTTTCTCGCCAAAACCGTAAAATCACGAGAAATTCGTAAATTTTTAATTTCCCGCCAAAACTGTAAAATCACGAGAAACCCGTAAAATTCCGTTTTCCTGCCAAAACTGTAAAATCACGAGAAACCCGTAAAATTCTGTTTTCTCAAAACCGTAAAATTACGTTATTCCGCCAAAACCGTAAAATTCCGTTTTCCACCAAAACCTTAAAATTTTCCACCAAAACCGTAAAACCATAAAATTACGTTTTCTCGCCAAAACCGTAAAACCACAAAAAAACGTAAAATTCTGTTTTTCCACCAAAATCGTAAAATTTCACTTTCCAGCCAAAACTGTAAAATTTTATTTTCCTGCCAAAACCGTAAAATCACGAGAAATCCGTAAATTTTTAATTTCCCGCCAAAACTGTAAAATCACGAGAAACCCGTAAAATTCCGTTTTCCTGTCAAAACCGTAAAATCACGAGAAACCCGTAAAATTCTGTTTTCTCAAAACCGTAAAATTACGTTATTCCGCCAAAACCGTAAAATTTCATTTTCCCACCAAAACCATAAAATTTCATTTTTTCGTCAAAACTGTAAAATTACGAAAAACCAAAAAATTCCATTTTCCCGAGAAAATCGTAAAATTACAAGAAAACCATAAAATTTTATTTTTCTGCCAAAACTGTAAAATTACATTTTTCCGCCAAAATCGTAAAATTACGAGAAAACTGTAAAATTTTATTTTTCTGCCAAAACTATAAATTTTATATTCCCACCAAAACCGTAAAATTTTGTTTTCTTGCCGAAATCTTAAAATTACTAGAAACCCGTAAAACTGCGTTTTCCGTCAAAACCATAAATTCTGTTTTCTTCCAAAATCGTTAATTTTTGAAAATTATTTGTTTCTTAAAAAATTATTAAAAATACATTTTTCAATCATTTTATTATTAAGTACATCTAGATGTAAATACAGATGTACAAACGAACATAAATGTATCCAATTATAATATTTAGATACATTAATCAAAAACACAAACAAACAACATCTGGATGCTGCATCCAAATATAGTATATGAATGTTGTAACCAAATATTGGGTCCAGGAAACGAACAGGGCCTGAGCCAACCACCTAGTTGTCTGGAGTGTGTGCAATGAAAACCCATATGAATATATGGGCCACTAAGTAATAATGGGCTTCATATATTTGCCCATTAATTAAAATGTTATCTTGAACAAGCCAATAAGGCCGAGAATGATTTCGTCTCCTTGGTTAAATTAAGAATTATCTTGTGTGCAAGCAAGTAGTAACTAATTGTTAATGGGAACTAGAATCTAAGTTCTCTGATTACATCTGACTCAACTAGCTAGGTTTCATTCTTGAATAGAGTAATTGAGGGGAGATTGGTGGATTTTGCGTAGTATCACAAAAATGAAAAATGACTCAGACTCTAATTAACATGAGAGATTGATTATGTGCATGCATGAGCATATGTACACAACTGTATTATGTATATATGTTCCATACAAACTCATATGCATGATAGCGCAGTTAGATAAATAACTCATTATAAGACAAATTGATTAAATAAATTCATTAGAAAAGTGATGCTACAAGTTAGACTTTGTGTTACAACCAAACTATACCCTTAACTCCTTCTCTTCGGTTCTCTTTAATTCTCACGTTGACTTTAGTTTGTGCACTTCGTATAATTCCTACGCCACCAAAAAAAAAAAAAACAGAAAACAAAATTTAAAAACTAATCACAAAAGAGATACACAAAACTCTCTTTCAATTAAAACTTACCAAAATAGAATGGAGTTGGCTTAGAAGTGGAATGAGCAACGAAATTAAACTTCTTATATCATCTTGGACCATATGATGACTCTCGTCTTTAGCACCAAGCACATCGATGAATGTCTTGTTGTTTGGTACCAGCTTAAGAGCCACCTTCCAAGAAATCGTTTGAGAATAATTATCTCAATTTGTTTTTTAATTTGAGTTATAATAATAATCATTGTGATAACTAATTCATGTGTAAAATAATACCTTGAAAGCAGCTGAAGAGATCCATCCATGCCATGGTTTTATGGTCAAGTTATAACTTTCTAGTACGGCTTGTTCCATGTTTTGTGACATGTCTTTGACCAGCCGTTGCAATAGCGCCAATGTAAAATCCATGGCTCTATATGTTTTCATTTTGGAATCAGTTGTTATGAAATACAATTGTTGGTTCATATTCATTTTGGGTTTCTATATATGGTCCAAACCAAACCGGTTTGGATAGATGTATATTCGCACCAAAATGATACGTACCTGGTTAGCCAAAGAGCAGCTCTGCTACAGCTTTTAGGCTTCTTACTGGATCCTTCATTGGCTTCTTTTCTCAGTATTTCAACCAAATTTGAGTACACAATAGGATCAGATTCCCACATCTTCTCTAATCTCTACAAATAAAATTGTTTTTACATACCAAAAAAAAAAAAAAACTTAATAAATAGAATAGGTTAAATTAATTATAAAAAAAAACGAGGGTGGAGGAAAAAAACGAGGTCCATTCATTCGAGAGACAGAGTGTGACGAAAATGACCCTGAAAGCAACTTAAAGGTGTGGATGGGTCCACGTGTCGAAAATGATGAAATTTTCTTGGACATCGAGTCGAAAAACCAGTTTCTTTAATCATGCTTTCTAATTATATACTACGTCGAGTTCTCGAGGGTAAGAAACAAAAATAAAATAATATACATATTTTCTAAACAGGGTTACGCAAGTGATTACGAGCATTGAAAATGATGCGTGTATATAATACTATAGTACTAGTATAACATTAATACTAATAAACAAAAAGAGAGAAAATTAATTACTTGAATATTTTGATCAATGTCTTGTCGGAGAACAGCCATTGTCGGGCCAATCTTATCTGCAATCAATCAAGAAAGTTTCAGGACAACCATTGGAGGAGCTAGTTATGCTTTAAACTCAAGAAAACCAAACAGTGCATTAAGCTAGATTTGGAATAACAGAAACTCTTTCGCGTTTTAGTATATTCACCAACAATATAAAAAATGAATGAAAAGAAACAGAAAAAATTGCATAACACTTTTAATGTATATTCTTGAATAAATATAGATATACCAAGAACTTGGATGATTAATTTGCAGAAACAGAGGAGAGGCTTTAACGGTAAATTGATGATGGTGGTGGCTTCTGTTTCGGTGGTAACTATTGTTGTCTTGGCTATGGAAAGAACAGAGAGTTCTTCAATGGCGGATCCAATCTCTGTCATCTTCTTCTTCTTCGTCGTCTCTTCCATGTCACATCTCTTTCGTTTCATCTTTTGATTATTGGTCTCTTGCTTCTCGAGTATGTGTGTGCGTGTGTGTGCGTAGCCTCTACTAAACCAACACCAGGGGACTCGGCTATTTATAATTCCGGCTATTGTATCTTTCCCTTTTTGTTTTGTTTTGGGTTTGATAATAATTGTTTATAGATTCTCTCTTCCAGATGATGGCGAATTGGTGATTAGTGATTACTGATTGGCAACCCCTATGTTTGACCTAGCCATCGTTATTAATTCCCGGTTTTAATCAAATTTTTATTTATATTATTGTCTATTTCCACCATTATTGTCTATTTCCACCAAAGGCACATTACTTAGTTGATAGTTTTATCTTCCTATACTAGTTAGATGTCATACTATAGATATGGAGTTGGATTCACATCAGAAGCAATTTTTTTTTTGTAGGTTATAGATGAAAAGCTTATCAAACCCAATATGGAAATAATGAGACGATTAAAGAGTTGAGAGACTATTGTAACAAGACTTGACAAAACTCAACACATGACAATAAGTGACACGAACAAAAATGAAGCACGTCTCTTTGAGATATATTAATGAAAAGATTTAACAAACGTTATAGAGATTCAAGAGTTTATAACGGGTATGTCTCGTTGTACTTGTTGACGATCTAATGTGAGATGCTCACAAATGTATGCTGCGTTGTCACTTGTCATACTAGGTTTCTATAATAAATGATCTATTTTTGGTGGTTATGAAGAATTTGATCCGACCGTCTGCATAAAGATGGTGGTGCATTGCAATTTTAGAGGATCGGTCAAAGTTTAGGTAAGAGCTAATTTGATTCTGATGAGTCCATATATTAGAACAAGACGGTAACTTTAAAAATGATAGTGCGACAAAAATTGAAAATAATATACTGTATTTTTTAGACTTTTTCTGCCCACCATATCAATCTGGTTTCGTTTTAGTTTGGATAAATTTAACAGGGCGACCCGTCTTTTGGTCAACTCTCAATAGCAACACTGCAACACCACATATATAGATAACTAACTGAATCTAAAATTAATATGCTTACCAATAAAATTAAGTGACTAAATTTATAGCTTAATTAAACCTTACTTTTACGAAGGAGTGATCTAGCAGCTTATGTAGGAGTAGGACCTTCAAAAGTCCAAATGATGATAGCCTGGTAGATAAGATTGCAAAATTATGCATACATTTTACATGAATCAGCAAATGCAATTATTCACAGATATACACACATTGACACATATCTATACGACACGTCGTTTTGTGTGCAAATGTACATGGAGAAAGTGGGGCAGTTACGGACTTCAATTGTGGGTCAAACGTCGTAATTAGACATTTTTAAAAAATACTGTTATTGAAGTTTTCTTAAGATAATTTATCTTTATTTTGTTAATTAAGCTTTAAAACGAGCGGCTAGTTAGCGTTTTAATCAACATTAGGATATGTAGAAATAGCCTAAAGGAAGGGTATAACAAATATAAGATAGATGTGCTCACATGAATAAAAGATAACCTTAACGAGGAACATGAATGTATAGTTACAAATGTCGTCTAATTATAAACAAGACAATAACATAAATCGAATGGTCTCTTTGCTAAATGTCCAGAATCTATCGAACATGCTGGTGGGTAAGGCACTCCAACTATGAGTGGGACGAATATTTTGTTGCTTATGCATTAATTTATATATATTAAATACAGTTTCTAATTTAAGTATATGGTCTGCCTGCATAATTTCAACTCCCTCTCATCTCATCCCGATTCATGCATGAATGACCAACTAATGATCATTTGCACAATAAATTTAACATGGCTAAGCCCCAGCGCAATGTTTATAGTACTAGTGTTTTTAATATATTAGTCAACAAATATTATAAACCTTAATTAGTTTTAACAAGAATTATTATTTGTGGTATATTATATCATTACTATTGAAGTACTTTTTATGTAACTCTTATGTTACAGGGTACCAATTACCAGGTTCTCCGAATATGGTCTCTTTTGGTTCTTATCCAGTACCAGACCATACAGGGTGACAAATCACGATGAAGATTCTAACTATAGAATACTAGTACTAATTAATAATGATCTTTCCTTATTTTGTCGTACTTACTGATGATAATTAATACTATATTTTATAAACTATGCATATTAATCGCCATGTTGTTAAGGGTATCTGTTTCTCTCTTTACGAGGGTGTTTATTTAAACCTGTATGAGTTTTGTTATGCCCCCCCCTGCGTACTATGAAACTACATCTTTTCATGGATTAAACTCTTCTAACAATTGACAAAAAGTACTTACTAATTGTGGGAAAAACATACTAGACGGAAAAAATATCCTATAACAGAGCAAGACACTTGGAAACCTTAAGAACCCAGTATTAATATAATTAAAGACTTCCAACGTTCAACTCAGAACTTTGATTACATGAACTAGGTCGAATACAAAAATTATTTGATGGTAATGATGAAAATAGAGTTTTTTTTTAACACACATTCCTGAAAGAAAGAAAAAAATCGTTCACAGTGTTTCTTATGTATGAGCTATTTTCCGGTGAAAATTAAACAGTAATAGTTCAATCTCGAAAAAGAAGAGAATCGTTCACAATGTTATATGGAATTTTTTTTTTAATTATTATTATTATCCTGAAAGAGTGGGATTGTTGAGTCGATCAACTTCTCGTGCCGAAAACGAGATAGTATTAATTAGTAGAAGAATGAGGCAACATGAAGCGTAGAGTTTGATGTGTTGATTTTCAGTGTTTTAGCAGCGAGATACTATCTTGCCACGGGAAAAAAAAAAAAAAGAAGCAATTGTTCGTCCTTTACGTGTAGGTGAAAATGAAATGGTTCTTTTGGATCGTTTAGGTGTGAGCTGGACCACTTAGCCGTGAGCATTAGTCAGTTTAAACTAACATTACATGTAACGTTAATTAGGGAATTTTCCAAACTAACTTATTGTACGTAGTTAGATTCTTCAGTCAAATGACTTGGTATAACCGTATAAGTAACATGCGTGATTATATTCACCAAAATACTAATTTAATCCATCATATTTAATTATTACCTTAATCTATCATGTTATTTACAGTTTCTCCTCCGTGATCTTCACAGAATATTCTGTTTTGTATCTCCTTAAAGAAGGGAGTCAGACAGACACTTATATAGAATTACGATAAGTTAGAAAGTACGTAAGTTCGGATAGATGAGGTTATTTAATTTAACTTTTCGAATATTGCCAGATATATACCACAAGCTTCCCATGCCGCTTCTAATTTTATATAGTGTGAATACTCGAGATTCCTTACATTTAATTCTTATTTATTTATTTTTAACTTTGCACCGTTTACCAACATTTTAACAATAGTATTGAAATAAGTGAAGCATCCGGCTGTAACTGTGACACGTATCCAACTCCTATTGAGTCATTGGCTCATTGCATTAATTTTGTTTCAAAAACGAGATATTTCATATATATCGATCGAACCTTTGTAACACATTTGGGGCATCATACGTCCAAATTATATATGAGGCTGTCTTATTTGTATTCAAGCAATCATAATACATACATACACAGTTTCATTTAGCTCTTTCTCTCAGATGTATAATAGTTTCTCTTATATGATGACTTCTCTTAATAGCTTATATATATATATATATATATATTATGGAATTAATGTCATTTAAGAATATACATGCACGGTCATCTCATATAATCTACTGACTTGTGTTATTCATGCAAAAGATTCCGATAGATATAATTGAGGAAAAGAGGTAAATTATGAAGTTTTAGGGTTTGTAATGAAGTTTTAGAGTATATATACATATATATCGAGTGCTCAAATGATTTCAAAGAAAATTTGCTCATCATCAAGTCAACCCGGTTAAATAAAATTTATATTTGACACGAAATTATTAGTTAAATACTAGTTATAAACAACGGGTCAATTAAAAATGATGATAAAAAATGGTTCTAGGGTTCCGCTTGATGTACTTGGTAGGTCGGTAAGGCATGCAAGGATGACCAAAGGAAACTTCTTATTTTCTTCTATCTTTTTCTTTTTCCTCTCTCGATCACTTTAATTCTTCATAAATCGAACAAACCCATATAGATCATATATATTATTTTATTTCAACGTTCATTATCCATATATACATCACACACACAAAATACATCTATAGACTGGTGTGTACATAATATAACAGAACCATCCAATTGGATTGAAAGACTTTGTAAAAATTCAAGTTCGATTTACGAAAGAATTAGGATTTGTGAATTTAAAGAGAAGTCTTTTTATTAGAAGAAGTCGGAGCTTGAATGAATACACGGGGGTTTAGGTCGTCTGAATAAGAACGCCGACCTAAACTTTTATGGAAAGTAAATCGATAGCTAGAACAATCAGATTGCTTAGTTTGCCCTAGGTCTCGATAAATGATTTTCGGATAGATTGAGGAATCGAGGACTTCCTATATTTATAGCCGATCAGGTCGGTCTTCAACCTGCTTGGAATAGGAAACTCTTGCCGGCAAGGAGTTTCCTTTTTCCTCGGGTCGCTCGATAAATGGAAGATTTCCTTTTATGTTGCCGACCTGGAACTTGTTAGACGGGCCGACCAGAATTCGTATCGGACTTGTTAGAGACGGTACGGATCTCATCTCTAATAGTAAGTCCCCCCCCCCCCAGTTTGGCAAGTGAGGATACATTACTTGGCGAACTTCATGATGTATTGCTTGGTATGCATTCTGGTCGGCTATAAAAAGAGTTAGAATAAAAATAAAATTATTACCTGGACTTCTGATCGGCGCGGTGATGAGGGCCAGATTGTGATTTTGGGCGCGAAAAGTTCCCGCCTAAAAGAAAACGTAGGCTAGGCCTAGGTTTGCGCATGCAGAACTAGGGTTGACACGTGTCAAACCCTAGCAGGTGAAGGTGAAGAGGCTGATTAAAATTTAACGAGAAGAAATGTGGAGAGTCACCGTGCTCATGATGATTCTCGGTAACC